AAAATAAATCATACTTTTTAAAAAAAAAAAAAACAGTATCTATGAAAATAATGCTTAGAAATCAATGAGACAGCTAAACACCTAATAAGAAAACTGGCCAGGGGAAATGAATATGTATATTAGAAGGTGGCAATAAAAAAATGCATATAAACTAGATCATTTTCATGGTAACACCATTACTAACAAGGGAGTAGGACAGTCTCATACATTGCTGGTGGGAGTATAATTTGATACCCTCTTTCTGGAAGGCAATTTGATGCACAATATATTAAAAGTCCTAAATATGTGCGTACCTATTTTGTCAGCATAGAATATGTTATGCTGCAGTAACAAATTAACTCTGAATTGCCAGTGGCAAAACAAGTTTTTTTTTTTTTTTTTCATTCACGTGACATACAGACGGGTGTGTGTGGGGGTGGGAGGGAGAAGGCTGCTCCACATAGTCACTCAAGGACCCTGGTGGACATAGGCTTTGCTCCCGAGACATGCATCATGTGCTGAGGCAAGAGGAGAGAGAGGCTGGAGAACCACACATGGTATCTCACAGTCTCAGCCTCATGTTTCTTCTGCTCACATTTCAATGGCCAGAATTAATCATAGGACCTTGATGGACTACAATCAGTCACCACTGAGTCGATTCCAACTCATAGCAGCTTCATGTGTGTCAGAGTAGAACTGGGCTCCACAGGGTTTTCAATGGCTGATTTTTCAGAAGTAGATCACCAGGCCTTTCTTCTGAAGTGCTTCTGGGTGGAATTGGAACTTCCAATCTTTTGTTACTAGTCAAGTGTGTTGACTGTTGGCATTACCCAGGGATTCTGACTGACTACAAGGGGACTGGAAAGTCAAGTTCCTTGTAGGCACAGGAAGGAAAGTAGAAGCAGAAATGGGGAGCACTTGTCATGTTCACCATAGTTTTGAGTCCAATTTTAGAAAATTACCCAAATATTCTTAAAAGTTCACAAAGATTTTAGAAGAAAGGATTTCACCATATTCTTGTCTATGGCAGCGAAAAACTGGAAACAATCTTAAGTATCCAAGGTATAATCTATATAGAAGTAATTACATATTTACTAATATAGAAATATATTCACAATATTTTTTAAAAGAGGAAAAAAGACAAGTTATAAAATTGTATGTATAATATGATTCTATTTCATGGGAAATAAAAATAATAAAAATAATAAAATATGGAAAGATACATACCAAAATGTTAACAGTGGTTATTACTGATATTACTGATATAACAGGTGATTTTTTCATATATCTATAGTTTTTTTTTTTTAATGTATATACTACTTATGCAGCAAAAAAGGAATTTAAAAAGAAGAAAAAAAGGGCTTTTGGGAAAGTCCACTTGTCTACCCCTTCATATCATTAAACTCCTACATTTGGTGCAATAAATGCCTTCATGCCTATCATATCAAAAGATACTACTACAGCAACTCATCTGATGTCAGGACTTCATACCAAAAACAGGTAAAAACAATAACACCTCCCCACAGCTGCATCATCAGTCCTGTCAATCATCTGTCAAAATGTATTTATAACAAGTTTGAATGTCACCATGGTTTCTCAAAGCTCCCACCAGGTGCACTGGGAACCCACGTGGTCTGGGGATCACTGTCCAGCTAAGCTCCCACTCATCAAAGAGAGTGAGCTCTGTACAACCCCACCAAAAACAAAAGACTCAGAAACTGTTCTCTCCATAAATGGATTCCAAAACATGTAACATCAGAAATATTAAAACAAAACAAACAAACAAAAAACACCTCCTCTGAGGTACACATATTTTTATTGGAAATTCTCCCTTGCTATTTTTCCTGCTTCCTCTTGCTGTTTCCTCCTCCAATACACACACAAACACATACACACAGAATCCTAAATTCACTAGAACATTTCATCCACCTCAAAACTCTTACCAAATGTCCCTTTCTTGGCTGGTCAGTTTAAGGAGGAACCAGAAAACTCACATTCTTGAGACAGGCATATGGAATGTAAATAACACCCATTTCTAACATTTCTATACAGGATTTCCCACTCCATGCCCTCACCTCTACTCTCCCCAGAATATATCATATTTCTGTGGGGAAACCAGGTACTCAGAAACCCCTTTAAACCATGCATATCATTTAAAAATATTATGGACATTGATTTGCACGATTCTAGTTTAAATTGTCGGTGCTTCAAAATCCAGTTAAGTGTCAACTGAATAAAAGATGTATAGAAGGATGAAGGGCACAAACAATCCTCTTCCAGTTGTTAACAAAGAGCAATGGCTGGCCCCCTCTGAATGGACAGTCTCTTTAGGGTGCCTATACTGCCTATAGTAAGTCACCTCACGGTTACTTTCCTTCCAAGGTGTACCTGGCCACAAGTGAAGTCCCATTAAAAGGTCCCTGGCACACCATGTGGTTGGCTCTTATCTAAAGTCACCCCTGGGTTCTATAGGAAAGGAAACGTTACTATAGGAAAGTCTCTGGAATTGGAGTTCTTCAAAAATGAGCATACCACGATGGTTCTGCACAGCACATTAATGATGTATGTCTTGTTTTTCCTTTACACAACCAGACACTGGATAACAGAAACAGAAACAGGCCATTTGGTCTCCCATTAATAGTGTGGACATTTTCATTTATTTTTGGTTCTAGTGAAACTCTTACCAGAGTAATCAGAATGTTCACCTAGCCAGAACCACAGTCTGGAATTGTTATACTTCCATCAGCCCCATCACCTATCACAGTAACCTTGCATATTCTAGCTGGAGGTCCTCAAACATATTTATTAAATAAATGTATACAACATTTTACCAGGATTTATCTAAACACACACACACACACACACCCCAAAGTAGCAGGCTCAGAATCTAGGCTGGCCTGAGACTACAGAGAAGTCCAAAAGGTTGGAGACTCAGTCCTCCTGAGTGTTGGTTAAGTGCCATTCAACCTGCTGTAACCACTGGGAGAGTCTGCTCCCCCTATACTAGCTCATCTCTGGGCAGGGTTAGGGTGGGCAGTGGACAGGTGACCCCAGCCAGAACTGTGTGTATCTCTGCCATCTCAGGGCCTCCAGTTTGTTTTGAACCAACTGCTCTGCCTGCACTAAAACCACATATAAAGGACCCAATACGAGCATGGGTTCCACAGAACTAGCCTTTCAGCACACGGACATCATTTTAACCAACACCTTACTGGAAAGAGCCTTGAAAAATGAGACTCATTCAAATGTGGAACTTACTTTTTGTAATGAATATAGATGTAATTCTGATTTGCTAATTTGTAACCTGTCCTTTACTGTGAACATACACTAAAATAATATAATTGCAATATGCACTTTGGTTACAGTGTTTTTTTTCTTCTTGTCATCCAAGAAGGGAAAGACAGCAGCATGGCTTGTAGACTCTGAGCACTCTGAAGATCACTGTTCGCTAACTGGGGGACTTTGGGCATGTCACTTACCCCTCCTATGTCTCCACTTCCTGTCCATGAAATGGGGTCATGATATCCACCCAATTCTTCCATCAAATTAAGGTCAAAAGTGGTAGCCTGCAGGAGTGTATGAAAATGATGTACTACACAAGGTCTGTGGGGTCACTGGTGCTATTTCCAGTCAAGATCTGACCACACTGTCCCCACTTGTTACTCTGGTGACTTTACATGCTCTAGGCACTAGGATGACTTCATCTATACTCACCACTCTCAACTTTTATCCAGTTGGGTCCTCACTGGAACAAAAATACTTATTTCTAAGGATCATCCCGGTTAAAGGATTCCAAGTTTTGCTTTGCCTCTTTCAGGTCCGAGGTTTCACAGATGCAGGAAGCAATATGTCACCTGACCATGCTTCACTCAGTCACCTAATAGACAGTGCTGGTGGCCGACTTACCACCAGCCCAGCTCTCCAGGGTCCTGACATGGGCAGCAGGGAGCCATTACCAATTGTTGACTGTTACGAGGGCCATCTGGAACTCTGGGGAAAGGGCAGGGCCAGCTTATACTACCCTAATCACCAAGAGAGTTGACCACACTTTGCATTTCCTGTCTGCTCTTCTTCTGCTCTCCATTTTCAACCAAAGCCTCCCATGTGGACCCATGCCACATATGGGGTCTCCTCTAAAGTGCCTGGGTGCTCCAGATCAAAAGCCTTCCCTCCTTTCCTCATCCCAAAGAAGACCCTCTCTGCTCAGAGAGAGGGTCTCAACTAGATGAAGAATTATTGCACGACCAAAGACTCACCTTGGGACCCAGGTCACATCTAGGTGTATGCCTAGCCCCCTTTTTCAGGCTTTGTCTCCACTAATCCAAATTTGGCAGGAGAAATTCTAACCAGTGGAGAACATTATCTAGAGGGGGAAGTTCTTTCAGGTGGTTCTCATATGGTGAAGTGCGTACCAAAGCCCTGCAGAAAACATTTAGAAATGTGTGGGGCCAGGAATGCAAAACCTCTTGCCATGCATGGACCAGTCTCTACCAAGAGAGGGTGCTAGCACTGCCCTGAGAAACTAAGGCCTACCAGAAGCTCTGTAAAGGGGGAAAAGAGGGTTATGGCTCCAGACCCTTCCTCAGTAAGCACTGACAAGGGCAAAAGCAAACCTGGGCAGAACTCCTCTGTCCTAATGTTCATAGGCCTGTGTGATTTCATAGACTTCAACTGTCCAAACCCAATACAAGTTTCCCACCCTAAATCCCAAGCCCCAGGTGTCCCCTATGCCATGAACAGCCAGGGTCCTGGAACCCCCGGCCATAGGAGAAACAAGGTCCCAATATCAGAGATCCCCACGGGCACAACACCATGACCTGGGGTCTGGGGCCTCAGACCAGTTCCTGCTTCCTCCACTGCCATCCTTCCTGCCCCACAACCCCCAAGGCAATCCCTGGGTTTGACCACACAGTTAGAAGCATTTATGCTGGTAATCTCCCAGCACAACAAAGATGGCGTACCATTGACAAAGATGACCTCTACTGTGGGGTTTGATTAACACACTAAATTCTGTTTATATGTTTAATTGAACAAATATTTATTAAGCACCTACTTGTGCCAGACACTGTGCTAGGCACCCTCCCTGCATGCTGTTCCCATAGCACAGCCATCCGTTCAGAAGTAAAAGCCAAGAAAAGGTACACAGTCGCAACCATACAAACTGGGCGGGAGGGGTATCAGTGGATGCAAGCAGCTTTCGTGTAAGCAAATGCACCCACCAAAAACTTGCTCTCTTTCCCTTGACAAGTCTGTACTGAGTGATATTTGAAAGCATCTCAATGTTTACTGAGAGGGAACTATTACCTTCATGCCCCTACAGATTGGGGCCTTGTGGACATTCAAATACTCTGAATGCCAGTCAATAAAAGGAGTGAAATAGCATGGTGTAAAGGATAGTCATATGTGGATTAGAAAATACTTTTTTTCCCCTTCCCCAGTTCATATGGTTGCAACAGCCCTTAAGAAAAGATATAAATATCCCTGCACTGACTGCATAAACTAGGTAGATCTAGTCTGGATTCCTGAGTCAGAATCTTCCAGTTGTCCACAACCTCACAAGGCCAGAGAAGCAAGAGGAGATATCTAATCTGAAGAGGAGCTGAGTGCACGGTACAACTGGTTTGGAAACACGACAAACCGTGCCTGCATTTACAGAAACAACGCAAACAGGTGAACGTCCTAATCCTATTTGTCTCATACACATACACGTGGGACTACTGTGCGTGGCCTGGGCCTCGGCCCAGCCCTAGTTGTCCGTGCCCAGCTTGGAAAGACCTCGGCGGAAGTCATGGAGGTCGTCGATCTTCCCATCTAGTACCTCCAGGAAGTTCTTCAACTCCACCTTCAGATGGCGCTGTCGGTATTTACTCTCCTCAATGTCTGTCTTTAGAGACTGTACTTTGTCTTCCAGGTTTTGATTGTCTCTCTCTGCCGCCTGAAGTAAAATGAAAGGGAGAAGGGTCTGGAAAACAGAGTGATTGGGGCCATCTGTCCACTGAGACCTGCTTTAGCCAAACCATCCATTTTCCACTAGACCTGTGGGCCTGTGATGGGGTGTAGAAACCCTACCAAATCAAACCGAACTCACTGCCATCGAGTGAATTCCAACTCATAGCACCCTCCTTTGGGTTTCCGAGACAGTAAATCTTTACAAAAGTAGATTGCCCAGTCTTCCTTCTGAGGAATGGCTGGTGCATTTGAAGCACTAGCCTGCTGGGTTAGCAGTCAAATGCCTTAGGCACTATGCCCTAGTGATGCTGTAAATCCCTCAACACACAGGGCTGCAACCACTGAGGTCAAAAAGGAAGCAGCAATCTGGATATTGCTGAACAGGTCTGTTTGGGGTGATGAAAAAGTTCTGGAAACAATAGTGGTGATGGCTGTACAACACTATGGATATAATTATTACCATTGAATTGGACACTCAGTACTTAAAGTGATAGATTTTATGTCACATAAATTTTACTGTTGTTGTTATTATGTGCCATCACGTTGATTCTGACTCACAGAGACCCTATATTACAGAGTAGAACTAGCCCCATAAGGTTTTCTAGGCTGTAATCTTTACAGGAGGAGATTGCTAGGTCTTTCTCCTATAGAGCTGGTGGGTGGGTTCGAACCACCAGGCTTTTGGTTAGCAGCTGAGTGCTTAAGGATTGCTTCTTTATATATTTTACTACAATTAAAAAAAAAAAAGAAAAAAGGAAGCAGAGAACATTTCTGTGTGCCTCTCCCTTCCCATATGTTTTCTGACAGAAATGCTAACTAACACCCAGCCTGAGAAACCAAGTCCCAGCACAGAATGCAGAACTCAGGGTCCTTCCTAAAGGATCCTGTTTCTAATTTACAATGAAATCCCAATGAGAGGGGTTCCAGGTCCAGGGTAGTCAGCAGAGACCTCCTTTCATTTTGAGAGTGAGAAACAGAATGATGGGAGAGGTGTTGGGGAGCCCTCCTCAGACCCAGGCCAGCCTCTGGGCCTCAGTGAAGGAAGACTGGCTATGCCAGTGACTCCAGGACAGCTGCCTGTGTACCTAAATGCTGTTACCATGGAGATACTCTGCAGAGCTAGGCCCCTGCTTAGCCAATGCAGGCCCGTCTGGGTGATTCTGACAGCAAACTCCTGAAGGTGGGACAGCTGTGTGTCCTTAAATGAGGCTTAACTTGTACCCTTTCTTTCAAGTAAGAGCTTCCAAAATACTTTCTTTTATGGTATAAAATGAGACTGTTTTTGAACATGTGCACATGAGCCAGTAGCTAACACTGGGGCTGTGTACCTCAATAGCGTGCTCCTTGTGTACGTTAAAGGACCGGAAGTTAGGAGACCCTCTGAGATGAAGGACGGCATGAAAACCATCCATGGATCAGACTTTGAGGCCAATGAGGAGGGCCTGCCCAAGGTCACTGGCTTGGGAGTGGCAGAACTGGACTAGCACCTGGATCTTATGTTTCCAGCCCATCCTTGCAGTCCCTGTTCCTTCCATCCTCCATGGTCCTGTGGGGGACCTCTGTGGGTGGGAAACAGTCACCAACAATGTTGCTACACACAGCACACTTTCTTTACAGATGGAAAAACCAAAAAGACAAAAGCTGCTGAATCCCTACCCCGGGGCATAGATGGCATCTAGCATGCAATTACCACTGGCTTTCATGAAGAGAAAAGCATTCTTTAATGTGCAAGGTGTGAAAATCAGAGGCAGCAGGGGAAATGAGTAACACTGTAAATGTCTTCCCTTCTGAGCTGAGACGGACAGCTCCCACCCTTACCTCTAATTTCTCTGAGACATATTCACACTCTGACATGAGCTGAGGTATGATTTCACTTTGTTTTCGGAGATCTTTCAACTCCTACATGAGACAGAATTTTGAAAGGGAAACATGAAAGCAAGTCAGACACAATGTATTCTTGAAAACCACCAATTCTGTGTTTGCTCCCACTCACAAGTGATGCCTTACATTACCAATGTGTGCATACATTAATAGAAGTAGCTTATGGAATCTGCATTGTTTGCATAAGTAATATAATGATGATTTAATACTTAAACATCAGACCATTCTAATAGCTAACTGCGTTACATAAACCATCTCATGAAGACCTTAAGAACCCAGCGGCTGTTGAGTTGATTCAGGCTTATGGTGACCCCATGTGTCAGAGTAGAAAGACACTCTATAAAGCAGGTTTTTTAGAAGTGGATGCTACTCCTTTCTTTCGAGCTGCCTCTGGGTAGTTGAACCTCCATCCTTTTGGTTAACAGCTGAGTATGTTAACCATTTGTACCACCCAGAGACTCTATAAAAACAACAACAAATAGACAGGCTTATGGAGTGAACATTTACATCAGATAGATACACTCCTTGGAACGGTCAATCATAGGTGAACAGAAGGGCAGTGTTTGCACAGGAAGACAACTCAGGGGGGTGGGAGTGCATGGAAGGGAAGGACACAGAGAAGAAGTAACTATGGGGAGGAAGTGGGAGGGGAGCTGTTGCACTGTAGGGAATTGCAGTCAATGTCATGAGACAAAATGTTTATGTACTGCTGTATGGAAAATGAATTTGCTCTGTAAACTTCACAAAAATCACAATAAAAATTTAAAAAACAACAAAAATCAAACCCACTGCTGTCAAGTCAATTCTGACTCATGCCCTAGGGTTTGTTTCCAAGGCTGTAGTCTTTATGGAAGCAGACTGCCACATCTTTCTCCCATGGAGCAGCTGGTGTGTTTGAATTGCTGGTTACCAGTGAGCGCTTACCAACTGTGCCACTGGGACTCCATACACCACCAGAAAAAGGCAGGTATTCTTAGGTTTCTAATTTTGTACATGAGGACACAGGCTCTGAGAGGTCTGGCAGCTTGCCCATGGTCTCCTAAGTCTGTGTACTTGGCTGTCCTAACCTCTAGATAATAAATGACTGCATGAAAAGTGGCTCTAGCTGCATTAATTTGAGAGCAGAACTCAACTTCTGATGAGAGATTATTTATAAAAGTTTCCTAAGTGTTTTATAGAATGTTCAACTTGCTTTTGGATCCTGGAGCATCTGTGCCTTCGTGTGACCTGGCTCTGCCTCTGCACTGTCAGGGCAGCTGCCAGGGCCAGGACATATGCCGTATGGCCACCTGCTGTGTCCTTGGGTGAGATCACCATATAAGGCCCAGGGGACAAGAGAGCACTGCTTAGCGCACCACTACTCACCGTCTCCTTCTCTCGGAGTTCAGACTCCAGCTCCTCAATCCTGTGCTTCAACTGGGTATTTTTCTCCTTCTCTCTGTTGATCTCACTGCACTGTTCTTCCAGTTCATCAATCTTTAATAAATATGATGCATTAGAATAGCCATGCTCATTTCCATTGGACATTAAAAAAAAAAAAAAAATCACCACAGCACTGTTGCTGTTTTCCTTTTCAGATAAACCATAAACTAGCCCATTTATAAGTTTTTCTTTGTGGCTTTGAACAAACTCCACGTTACTGTCGATCTGTGTTTGCTCCTACTCACTCGAGATGCCCTACTCTACCAGCAGAGCCAAATGATTAACAAAACCTGGTTTCAGGATGCTCTAGGCTTCTGCCTTTCTCACAGTTTTGGGACAGTAATTTCTGGTTTGCTTTAAGAGGTCATTGTAAGCAGGGGCCAGATGTTTCCTGAATTTCTCTGCTTCATCTCAGCATCATTTTTACATCATTTCAATCATTTCCTGAATTATGCTGTTTCATTTTAAGGGCTGAAGCCAGCAGGTAGGAAACTGAGTAACTCTGTGGGTTTTTTTTTGTTGTTGTTGTTAAGTGCCGTCGAGTCGTTTCTGACTCATAGCGATCCCGTGCACAGCAGAACGAAACTGTAGTGCCTGCTAAATGGGAATGACGAACTTTTAAGCATTTTATTTCTAGATGACCTTTCCTTATTGAAGTGTGCAGAGGGGCCTAGCCTGTGGGCCTCTTCCTTGCAGACACAAGGTGCAAGCTGAATGGTAAATCCAGGATGCATCTTTCTCCCCCTCCCTAGTCAAAAGACTTCCCCACCTGGGACAAGCATGCAAAGACCTATACCTTTGACATTGCCAAGTGGCACTGAGCATTTCCAGGGACCAAAGTGTGTGGGCTGAGTGAGGCTGGACGGTAGGACTGAAACTGAGAGGTTACACAAAAGCACCTTACTGATGGGGGAGGCCTGTGGCATCCCAACAGCAGCAGTCCTCACTATTAAGGGCACTGGGTAGTTGCCTGAAGGATACCTCTCACAGGGGTCTGTCACTCAGGGTCTGAATACCTAGCTACAGGAGCAGCTGGAGAGCCCACCGTCTTCAGCCCCTAGCCCGAGATACTAAAGTTCTGATGCTTCCCATTTAGGGAAGTTGACGTCCCTCCACGGGAGTGAGTTCTGTGACACACCATCCCTACTCCCCCCACCCCCTGCCCTTCAGAGCTTATACTCAGCTCTCTGCCTGAAAAAACAAAATAAAGGGCCATCGATCCTGCTGGCAGGCAGATCTGCCAAGCCCTGGAAAGGAACATGCAAAGTCAGCGATTGGCCCGGTGCCCCTCACTGTCAGCACTTTGGACATTTACATGGAAAGCTCAAGATGGTTTGCAAAAATGACAGGAGGCAGTTTTATGTGCCATCAGCATCAAAGTAAGATGGTGACACAGAGCACTGGACCACAGGAGCTCCACTCAGGTCAGGCAAGGCAGGTTGCCAACAGGGGCCAAGGGAGAGCGGTTCTCTCCATCTCAAATCGCACACTTTTAAAGCAGACTCCAAAGCCCTGAGTGTTAACTGCCTGTGAGATTCACAGTCTGAGCACCAAAACATGGTTAGCACCGAAACCTCAGTCCTCAATGGGACAATCTCCGGCCACCCAACACCACCACAGCAACTCAGCTGAATTACAGGTAGTGTGGGTGATTTATTACAGGCAAGGATGGATGAATTCCAAAGAAACCAGAATGCCAGGATGCCAAGGTAGGAGAGCAGAGGGCATCTGACCTGCCAACAACAGCTGTCAGCACCTCATACTCCAAGGGCTATGTCCTTTCTCACTTCCCAGTTTGCAATTTTACGAATAAGGATTTGTACAGAAGCAGGGCTTCTAAAAAAACTCTCCTCCTTTCTCTGACTCTATTTTCTCACTCACCCATGGACTTGCCAATCCCTTTTCTCTAACAAAGACTATGAACCACAGAAATGTAAAGAGAGGGCCCCACAGAATTAAAAAAAAAAAAAAAACCCAAGGAGTATCAGAAGGCACTCTCTGCAAGGGACTAAAAATGAAATCTCCAATTTATTTATCATTTCCTTACAAGTAGAAATTAGAAAATGTGGCTCTATAACAACAATAAATCAGGTATTCACATGGTGAGATTCCTACTGAGAAAGGCAGGGACACCTGTGTAGCAGCACAATGTAAAAGACATTGGAAGATGTGATCCGCACCCTATATGACTATGAGACCAGAAGAACTAGATGGTGCCTGGCCACCACGGTCAACCACTCAGAGGGGGATCTATGTAGGAGATCCTGGATAGAGTGGGAGAAACAATGTGCAATAAAACTCAAAATCATTTGGAAAAAAAAAAAAAAAAAGAAAGAAACCAGGTTTGCTGGTCTGATAGAACTTGATGGAACCACTGAGATATGGCCTCTAGCTACCCTTTAGGTCTGGAATTAAACTCACTCCTGTGGCTTCCAGACAAATGAAAGACAGGCATATGAGCTGAACATTTATAATCGGTAGACACACTCCTTGGATAGAACCATCAGGGGAAAATAGAAGGGCTGTTTATGCACAGGGAGACAGGACTACATAGAGGGAAGGACACAGGAAAGGTTAACTATGAGGAGGAAGTGGGAGGGGAGGTGTTGCATTGTGGTAAATTGTAGTCACTGTCAGGAGACAAAGTGTATGTGAGCTGTTGTATGGAAAGTGAATTTGCTCTGTAAACTTTCACCCAAATCACAATAAAAATTAAAAAAAAAAAAAAGATAGTGGAAGGGAGAGCCAAAGTCACCTGGGGAGTGGGGGCTGGTAATGAAGGGGGAGGACCGGGCATATCAACACTAGAGATCATTAAGAATCCAGTCAAGGAGGATCCGAGGAGCACAGGGGTGTCTCAAAAGCCAGTGGAGAAAGTGTTTCAATTTCATGAAGATGGGATAAATTGTGTCAACTGCTGTTGCATGGCTATAACACATGACTAAAGTTTGCTCCTTGGATTTATTACAATTGTTCAAATGCCCAGATATCTGCACCCAAACTCTCCTTTTGTTCTAACATTTAAACAAATCAGAGGCTCTCAAATTCAAATGTGCATAAGCATTAAAGATACAGTGTGTATACATTTAAACAGAAAGAAAAAAGGCAGGGAGGTGGCAGGAAGTTCAAAGAGAAGCACCCAGTCTTGTCCAGCCCATGGGGAAGAAGAGAGCATGAAAGAGGCAGGTAGGAAGGAAGAGAGGGGAAAAGGAAGGTATGCAGCTCCATTTCCCACTGCCCACACCAGCCAGCCTCAGTGGCCTATCCCTCCTGCTCCCACATGGCCCAGGGCACCCAGGATGGCCCTTGGGCTGGAAGCCCACCTTGTTCCGGAGCCGGTCATTCTCGTCGCGGCAGATAGAGAACTGCTTCTTCCACTGCTCCACACTGGCTGCCGACTCCTGCAGTGCTGTGGTCAGCCGGGCGTTGCTCTCCCGCAGGGTCTGCAGCTCAATTTCCCATTTCTTCACATTGGCAGCACTGTGGGGTGGGGGCAAGGAGGTGATGACCAAGATGGTGGGTGCTGTCTTGCTCCATCTCCACCTGCCTGGGGAGGCCCTGCTGCTCTGGGGCCTGCTGCCACCCAGCCCACTCCTGGGACCCACCCCAGGCTTGGCTGCAAGTACCAAGAGTCTAGGAGCATGGGTAACTCTTTCTAGTTCACACCTTGAGGGGCTATTTTCCTTAGAGAATCGCTTTAGAAGAAAACTGAATTCTTAAAGAATAAAGACACAAAAGAATGAAGGCCACACAGTAGAACGAGGACCTCCCCACTCCTACTTCCCTACTGACCCCAAGCTACAGATCCTCCTCTCACATCTAGATTCCCTTCCACAGGTACCAGTAAATCAGATGCTGTCAAGTCAAGATGACTCCGCGTTGCCAGAGTAGAACTGTGCTCCATATGGTTGGTTTCCAATGGCAAATTTTTCAGAAGTGGATCAGCAGACCTTTCTTCTGAGGCATCTCTAAGTAGACTTGAACCTCCAATCTTTCAGTGAGCAGCCAAGCATGTTAATTGTTTTCACCACCCAAGGACTCCCCCTCAAGGATAATAGTTCTGAATTACTGCGGAGTGCCATGGAGACCTTTGAGAATCTCCTGAAAGCTATGAGCCCCTTCAAAAAGTTCCTGACACCCTTCTTTGGAACCCAAGGACCCCAGGTTTAAACAAACAAAAAGCCTTGTTCCTCGGTGATAACAGTTCCACTGTAACTTGTGCCTCCTTAGAGCTTTTTAATGAATCCAGATTTGAGGGCTGAGGTTCTGAGGAAAGTGACTGAAACAGTGTGGGCTTAAGTGGAGTTCTAAATACAATGTAAGTGAGGGCTGCCTTGGCGAGCCTCATGTCACCCCAGGGTTGTAAGAAACCCCACAGCCTGAGGGACATCGTTACCATTACCACAAAAACTTTACATTTCATCTTTGATTCTATGTGCTCAGTGAGAAAGAAGTTTGAGAAAAAAAATTGGAATCAAGGTCCCCTCAGTTACTGTTTTCTCTTGGCCCTCCTTTTAGTTCCTTGCTTGGGAACTTACACATGTGTGGTGCTGAGTGCAACCTGAAGTGACAGGGAAAACAAATCCATCAAAAAGTTTTCTGGTAGGGGTTCCGGCAAGATGGCGGACTGGGCAGAAGGATTGCACAGACCCTCTTCAACAAAGAAAAGGGAAACCAATTAACACAGACACAGAAGATAATCTTGGACCCCTGAGC